GGGTAACAACTATGAAAGCTACCATTATTCGGATGGAATTGGGGGTGAAATGATTTATTGGTACATCGAAAAGTCTACTTAACGACAGTAAATCAGGTTGAATTGGGAAACGCAAGCCCGACATTATTTGATCCACGAAAAAAGTAAAACAACCCTTAGGAGGGCGACTGAAGTCGTCTTCGGGTTTAGGAGCAACTACAGCCCAATCAGAGGGAAGGCCACTGAACTCTCTAAAGCCATCGATTTCGGCTGTAGGAGCATAAGAAAACGATAGTAAGAACTTTACCACGTAACATGCTATAGTTATGACTCGATTAAGGGGAGTCATTATCAGTAAAGGAACAAGGCTTGTCGCATATATGAGGATGTCTAAAAGAACCTAGCGGAGAATACCTCGAGGAATCGAGTCGAGGCAAGAAGATCCAAAAGCTCGAAGAATTTCAGGATCCTCACAAAGTGTGCCCGAAAGCAACGCCTGATTGTACACAACCCAATCGATACCAAAGGATGAGGCGTTGGAGTTAACAGAGCCCTCTGGCTCGACGTTTTGATGAAAACATGGCCCGACATCGGTTAGGAGGTCAGAGTCCGAACCTGAATAGTCATCAATTTCACGGGCAAGAGAACCAGACACGGGATCAGAAACGGGGTCGAGGTTGGAATCTAAAAAGAAAAGGAAAGAGCGACAATCAATAGATATTGGAAAACACGACCGTGATTCGATTCAAGAAGGTTAGGGTCAACAAAATGACCAGAAGGCCATGAGAGTCGAGTCGACGACAAGACAGGGAAAAAGAAACAGAGAAAGTATTTCTCATTTCAACTCGACTTGACAAATGAAGGCCAAGTCGATGGCGTATCAATTCATAAAAAAAGAAGGGGAAGTTAAATCCAAGATAACTGACAAATAAAAACACTTGAAGAAATTCACATAAAAATACCCAGAAAAACTGATGAACATGCAAAAATCCAAGTGCAGCGCCCAGAAAAGCAAAAAAGAGAGAAAGAAAAAAAATCGCACATAACAGTAAAATCGAAAGGCAAAGAGAACTTACTCATACTCATGGTGGTTGATGTAGAACGCCGGAATGAGAAAAGAGCACCGGAAAGCTTGAGAATGATGTGTTTGCCGGAGAAGGGGAGTTCAAAAAGATTGAGAGCGAAAAGTGAAGAAGAGAAAAGGGGAAGAATACTTATAGGGGAAGTGGAAGAAACCCTAGCCCTCAGATTAAAGGCAGATTCAACGGATGAGATGGCGCACGGAATATGAAGCGGTGGAAAGATAAACATCTTATCAAAGCTCAAGACCCCATTTTCGAATTTTGAAATTTGAAAAGATTCAGACTTATCCAACCAATTCGAAATCTGATTGGATAAACAAGTCGCTTTACGAGTCGAAATAATGAGTAGACGTGGCGTAGAGCAAAGACAGGCGACATGATATATGAAAAGATTCGAGTGGGACACTCAGTCGACAAAATTTACTCGTAAGCTCAGAGTCGCTTCGAGTAATTTGGGGGGGGGACTAGATGATATAGCCATACTGTTGTATAACGGTTTACACTATCAAGGGTTCCAGAACTACCGAGTCGACTTAGCCAAAGCCGACTCTCTCATCATATTTCCTATAATATCTC